GAAGAAAATTAAAGCAGCAACAGCAGGAGTCTGCACGAAGGGAAAACATTCTGGTCAAGCGATTAGCAACCAAGGAACAGGAAATGCAAGAGTATACTACTCAAATCCAGTACCTCAAGCAAGTCCAGCAGCCGAGTGTCGCCCAACTGAGATCAACAATGGTAGACCCAGCGATCAACTTGTTTTTCCTAAAAATGAAAGGTGAACTGGAACAGACTGAAGACAAACGTCAACAAGCCCAAAATGAACTGAGTGCCTGGAAGTTTACTCCTGATAGGTAAACAAATCATACTCCCCAGTCAAGACTTCCCTGACAGACCCACCTCGAGAAAGCTGTGGTGGGACAACCAAGTACTCGTTTCCACTCCAAGACTCAGACTTTTTGAGACAAAAAAGCCACATTCTTATACTGTCCAGCTTGTAATGGTTAATGTAAAACTTACAGGTGAACCTTGTGTTTCGGCTTCTCTCTTCCCGCTTCCCCTTGCTTCAGAGACCTGATGCCGTCGGACTATTCCGAAGAAGAGGCCACCTCCGACAAATTCCCCTTCTAGAACATGTAGACATTTTGAGAAATGTTTCTGTTTGAAGAAAATAGAGGGGAAAACAGAAGTCTTAAGTCTGTGGCACACTGTTCAGACAGTTTGGAGGATTGAAAACCTAGAGGTTTTAAATTATGAATTGAACATGTAAAATTCCACTAAAATGTAAAAATGGAATACACATCGCTCTTAACCTTGAGCATAGTGACTTAGAGACACTGTACATCAGTTATGCCAATAAGACTGTGGACTTCATGACTATTGAACTACTGGGTCAAAACTCAAATGAGGTGAATTTTGCCTTTAAAGGGTTTACGTGCTAAGAACCAACTTCTAATAGCCATGAGACAATCAAGTCATAGCTACCAGTACAAGTAGTGCATATATTTATCCATTAGCTCTGAGCTCTATATTACATAATGGAGCCTTAAATCTATGTGGTTTTTTATCAATGGTTTGTTCTTTGAATGGTTGTGGAAACTGTAGATAATCTTTACCGAGGATTGTACAAACATGAAGGTGTGGTCTCACACTTCAGGTTTAAACTGTTTGAAGCATTCATTTTACAACTAGATTGTATAAGGTATTGGCTGTGATGAGACTGCCGTTATTTAGTAAACCCTCATCTCATTCAGCAGGCACATGTTAAACAGCATTGTCGTTGGTGTTAAATGGGGGAATGTGTTCCTTCATTGTATTTGGGCCTTTTGTATCGAATTCTTGATATTAAATTAAATGTGCCTTGAAATATTTTTTTTTAAATTCAAGGAATACTCTGATAATTTTGTTGTGCTCTTAATATTTTATTTGGGGGGCTGTGGAGAGCAGATCAACACTTTGGAAAAATTATTGTGTGCTTTTCAAAGTGAAGGAAAAGGCTGTCTCGTTTGAAAGACTTTATTCCAGGTGGTATCAAAGACAAGGAGACTTGGCATGTGGCCCAGGATATTGCAGTAGAGCATAATGTGGGACAGTCTCACAAGGTACCTGCCAGAAGATTGTGGAAATAATGTGTTAGATCTCTGGGCTGGCCCATGTGAGACTTTCTGTGAATTTTAAAAAGGTATAGTGATCATTCTAGCAAACTCATTGCTCACTTAGATAATTGAGGCATTATATTCTTCATGCTTCCATCTAATCCTGGAGGTGAATTTTTTCCCCCCATCTATAAGTCACCAGTTTGAATTTTCGCTTGGTGATAATGGAGTCTGAGATGAGTAGAAGATAAATGTTCCAGCTTGTTCCAGCGTTTAAGTGCAGTTTTAACAAGGGTGACTTAAGTTCTCTCTTAATCGTTCAAATCAATTCCAAACAGGCAAAAAGTTAATGGCGAAGTGTCGAATGCTTATCCAGGAGAACCAGGAGCTTGGAAGGCAGCTGACCCAGGACTGTATTGCACAGCTTGAAGCAGAGTTGGCTTTGCAGAAGAAATATAGTGAGGAGCTTAAAAGCAGTCAGGATGAACTGAATGACTTCATCATTCAACTTGACGAAGAAGTAGAGGGTATGCAGAGCACCATTCTAGTTCTTCAGCAACAATTGAAGGAGACACGACAGCAGTTGGCGCAGTACCAGCAGCAGCAGTCTCTAGCTTCAGGCCCAAGTACCAGCAGGACTACATCTTCTGAACCCATAGATCAGGCAGAGGCCACAAGCAAAGACTGCAGTCTTCTGGCAAATGGACCAAGTAATGGCAGTTCCTCCCTCCAGCGGACATCTGGGTCTGGATTTCACGGGGAGGGGAACACAACTGAGGATGACTTTCCTTCTTCTTCAGGGAATGGTAATAAGGCCTCCAACAGCTCAGAGGAGAGAACTGTCAGAGGATGTAGTAGTTATATAAACCCACTCAGTGCAGGGCATGAAAGTGTAGACTCTCCCACGGGCAGTGAAAACTTTCTCACACATCACTCAAATGACACAGACTCCAGTCATGACTCTCAAGAGGAGAAAGCAGTCAGTGGGAAAAGTAATCGAACTGTGGGTTCCCGCCACATTCAGAATGGCTTGGACTCAAGTGTAAATGTACAGGGTTCAGTTTTGTAATATTTTTCCAGCAAATTTTTATACAGTGTCATTTAATTTGGGAGAGGATACTGTCAAATTAATGCATACTTTTGTCACAATTTGCCTTTTTGTGGGTGTGTTTTTGTTTGGTTCCTTTTTTTTCTTTTTTTTTATTGCTTCAATACCTCTGCCACTTTGAAAATCTTAACAGTTAATTACTTTGAACATTGCTAAAAGAACATTTTGTGTAGGGTGAAGTTATTTTCATATGAGTTAATGTGAAGCTGTAAATGGGAATCTATAACAATGATGTCTGTATAAATCTGTGTCTATCTAGAAGCTGTGTTGTGTAAGGGCATTCTTCTTCATGCTGTTATAGACTTATGCACCATTCAGGCTTGTTAGAGTAGATGTGGGTTATGACTGCCAAGTTTGCCCAGTACAGTAGTTTTTATCACTAAAAAGTTGGACTTGGAGTCCTATAGTAGTTTCAGTGTTAGATAAAGTTTTTCCACCATCTGTGCATTCATCTTTAGGTGACTGAATGTTTAAGAAATCTGTGTGCATAGTTACTAAGTTTTTATGAACTGTTGTGTCCTCCTGTTAATGCATATTGCCCTGTGACTCCAGTATATCTCACCTGTACTGACCAAACCTAAATAAAAAATCTTTATTATGAAAAAAAATAACTATGGTAAAGTTGGTACCAAGGAGTGTGCTATTGCTGTAACAAGCCTGGCTTTAGAAAGATATGGAAGACTTTGGGACTTTGGTCTAGGAAAGTGAATGGTACATCCAAGTAGAAGCTTGAAAGACAACAGTGCTGAGAGAAATGTGAACTAACTATGGAGGCCTAGCTCAAGAATCTTCAAGAAGAATCAATTGGGATAGATATCATTCTTGTGATATTTTGGCCAAGAATGTGGCTGATTTGGCCCTTGTCCCATAATCCTGCCTGAAGTGGTTTACATTAGACTGTATACCTTTAGATATGTCTAAATAAATAAATATTTATCTATCACCTGTACAGTGCAAAGCATTTGAAATTTATAAGCTATGATTTAGCACATATCAAAAGTGTTGAAATTGTAGAGTCCAGGGACAAAAATGCCCAACAAAAAGTAAAATTAGTCTACCTGTTGGCCCAAAAGAAGAGTGTATAGTACTTTTCATGTGCAAAATCTTGTCTTTGTCTTCAACTGGACTTGGGACACTAATCTACTATTCTAACAGCTCTGTGGTTACATAGCCAATTCCTTATATTGATACTTTGTCTTTCAAAACTGAGTCACATTTGTGATGTGGCATTTATTCTTTCCAGTTTTTCTTGCTTGCCTTATATGTAAGTTCATTTGTACTTCATTAACCTTTTGAGTGTTACCCCCTAGGGAATTCTGTCTGCCCTGTGGTTCTTCACTCAGGGACTAATAATCCCCTGTATATTTAGTGCCAACTCCCACATAGTTTCATAATAACCCTGGTAAATGGTTTTCTATTTTTTCTAATGACAGAATACCTGAAAATTCTACAATTTTAGGTTTGTTTTCAAATGTCTATCGTTATAGCTTTCAAAATGAATGCATAGAATTCACAATAATCTCTCCTAATATTAATAGAACAGATGAATTTATTAGTGGCCAAACTCTGCTCTCAGTCAGCTATCATGCAAATAAGATACAAGGACACATTTTTTCTAATAAAAAATTATTATTATACCCAAATAAGACAAAAAAGAATGTTTTCACTACAGACTGTTATGCTAAAATAAAGCTCATGATATTTTTGATGAACATTAAATACTCTTCACTTTTTTATATGTTAGTAGGTGAAGGTCGTCAAACAGATAACAGACGTTTTAATTCAATAGTTTCTACCTTCAAATCAAGCCATTCCTCCATATTTCTGTCTTAGGTGCCTCACTTAAGCCCAAGTAATTTCTCTCCTATACAGTGATATAGTTTCCAACTTGAGTCTTGATTTACCATTGCTTACTCTGTGCTTTGCAGCAGGATGTCCATCTGAGTTTTCTTAGATTCCCTTTTTAAGGAAGGAAATATTTGTTTTGTGTACAGTTTCTGGGGATTTCACTCCGTCCTGGCAGGAATGCAATGACTTGACTGTAGTCGTATCTGGCCTTGCCAGTGTATTTGTGTTAGTGGCCACACTCCTTTGGTCATGGCTTCAGGTGCTGAAAGAACCAGAATGCAGGGAAGTGGGTGTGGAGGGGTGGTCTCTCTCTCTCTCTCTCTCTCTCTCTCTCTCTCTCTCTCTCGCCTCAGATCAGATCTGGAGAACAGAGACTGCATCCTCTGGAGCAGAGAAACCTGCAAATTTTCTTTATTATTATCTGTGTAAGTTGTTCCCCAATAAAACACGTGTTTATCATTTATCTTGGGTCTAGTGAACTCATTACAACCCTGAGTTCATACAGCTTTGAATCATTGGAGTTGGAGGTGTCTTTACATTTACTCACATTGTAGCTGACTGGGAGAAGAATCCAGCTATTATTATAGGCATCTGTTCTATTTCTTAGCTTGATAATATTATTTACAAAAAAAGCCCCAAACCTTTATTCTCACTGAGAATGAAAATGAAATAATAAATAATCTACAATATCTATTATAATCTCCAAGATAATTAAAAATTGTTATAAAAGCAAGCTTTGAGATAGAGAAGCATAAAGCAAAGGGGCCAATGAGATACCTCATGAATAAAGGCACTTGATACCAAGCCTGACTAACTGAGTTCAACCACCAGATCTACTTAGTAGATTCAGAGACCAATCTCCCTTTGCTTTCTTCTGACAACCACCAGAGTACATGTACTCATGCACAACACACACACACACACACATACACACACACACACACACACACACACACACACACACACACACTAGATATCATAGTTTTAAAAGCTTCCATGGGGCTGAGGAAAGACCTCAGTTAGTTAGCAAAATGTTGACACATAGGTGTGAGACATGAGTGGGATCTCTATAATTCACATGAAAGTCCTGTGTTGGTGGTGTTTATAGCCCTAGGGCTAAGGAGCAGAGGCAGGATTGTCCCTCACACTTGTTAGCCAGCCAGCCTAGCTTCATTGGCAAGCTCCTGACTTGTGAGAGATCCTGTTTCAAAGAAAGTTCCTGGAGTTCACGAGCAAATGGCATCCTAGGTTCTCTTCTTCCTTCATCTTCATACACTCACACACATGCACAAATGTACACTCATGCCCACACACATTTTGATAAACAGACACATACACACCTATGTACATATTAACATACACATCTACATATGTATTTCTAAATATAGATTTATAAAATTAAATTAAACATCTAATATGCTTCATTTTTACATATTCTAAATATATGCTAAATACATTCTTAAGTAAAATTTTGGGGGGTAGAATAATACTGGTTTAGCAACTTTTTAATTTTTATTTTAGAAACAATCTTATTTTACATATCATCTCCCCATTCCCTCGAACTCTCATCCTTCCATGCCACCCACTGACCCCCAGCAACCAATCCCCAAGGACAATAAGGCCCTCCATGGGGGACCATCAAAGTCCATCACATCATTTAGGGATACATTTCATGTATCTGGGCTGCAATAGTATTCCTCCATAAGGAATGTGATCCCAAAAGTCTATTTGTGCTCTAAGGATAAAAACTGCTCAGGTCTTCTAGCTGGCACCCACATTCAGAAGGCTTGGGTCAGTTCAATGCTGCTTCCCCAGCTTTAAGACTAAGGTCTCTGTGCTCTCACTAGGTCAGGTCAACTGTTTCTGCAGGTTTCTCCAGCACAGTCTTGGCTCCTTTGCTCATCCCTTGTCCCTCTCCACAACTGGATTCCAGGAGTATGGCTCAGTGTTTATCTGTGGGTGCCTGTTTCTGCTTTGATCAGCTACTGGATGAAGGCTTTAGGAATGGCAACCAAGGAAGACATCAATCTCATTATAGGGAAAGGGCATCAAAGGCAGCCTCTCGCCCAATGTTTATAGTCTTAGTTGGGGTCATTCCTGTGGATCCCCTAACATTTCCCCAATGCCAGACCTCTCTCCAAACCTGTACTGTCTCCATCTATCAATGCATCTCCTTTCTTGCCCTCCTCTATTCCTCCCCTGTCTCAGTCCTCCTGATCTCTCCTATTCTTCTCCCCCCTCCACTTCTCCTCTTTCCAACCTCTTCCTCTCCCCCCCATGCTCCCAATTTGCTGAGGGGTTCTTGTCCCCCTTTCCTTCTTCAGGGAGTGCATGCATTCTTCTCTTGGGATCCTTCTGGTTTCCTAGTTTCTCTGGTGGTGTGGATTGTAGGCTAGTAATCCTTTGCTCTATGCCTAATATTCATATATGTTGGGAGCCAGCAGTTCCAGTAACCAGAAGTGCCACTCTGCATTGAATTGTGGATGCTAACTGATTTGCTATTGAATAGCATGGCCTCAGTGGGAAATGTCCCCTCTACAGGACTAAGCATTTGAATAGGCCTGCACCTGGGTGAAGGGCTAGGTCTGTAAGTATAAAGAGAAGACAGAGAGAGTTAGGAGCCATCTAGCAGAGATGGGTTGACTGGAGAAGAGAAATGGCTTCAGGGTCAGGGAAGCATGGTTAGGAAACAGCCAGGAAGATGCTGAATAAAGGAAAGACTCCAGTTTTTGCAACATGGAACTGAGAGCTCTCTAAAGATGACAAGATGCCTGTGTTTGGTCTTTATTGCTGTTGGGTTGCTAGGATTTTTCAAGTCCATGCTCCTCGACTCAGGCCAAACCTCATGGCGTCCGTGGCTTGGGGCTGAGACATGCCGAGCCACGACATAATGACACCCAAACATGGGGCCTGAGAACAGGGGAAGAAGCCATGGACACCACGAAGAAAGGGACACCAAAGAAGCAATGGACAAGGCAGAGGCATGGACACTTCGAAGAGATAGTTGTCGCAGGCAAACGTCTCGGAGAAGAAGCCCACAGGAAAAAGAAGAAAGAAGTGGCCCACAGGAAAAAGCCCACAGGAAAAAGCCCACAGGAAAAAGCCCACAGGAAAAAAAGAAAGAGTACAGTGAGTGAGCAGAATTAAATCAGGAATAAAACTGTATATAATTATAGAAATAGGAAACTGATATTTGTAATATAAAATAGGAAGACGTCAGCCAGCAGCTGACTAGAAAAGGTAAATTGGGTTATTTAAC